ATTCTTAAAGGAAAACAATAATTCCATGCTTTTAAATGTGAATTTTTCTAAATATGATAAGGTAGATATATCAATTTGAAGCCAGTTTTGCATAAGTTTTTTTTTGCCATGCTGTGCTATAAATATTTGTTTTATAATTTGTCTTTGCAAATCTTAAGAGTCTTTTATTATGTAAAGTGACCTGTAAAATATGTGTAATACACAACAATATATCTCTTTCTCTCCCAAACGGCTCGGACCCCTCTAATCCCGGCATGATACTCCGATTATAGAATGCCAAAAAATATATATTACATACTCCATAATAAGCTCTGAATATCCCAGGGTAAGGTACTTAACGTGTTCGTGAAATAATTTGTATTTAACACAATCTATGGAAGTGTTATAAAGATGTGAGCTGGTGTAGCGGCATGTTCTCTTGATCATTTCTTTGTCTTTGCCAACAAATTGGCTTAGACGATCCCGAGTCGATACGTTGTCACGTCATTCCGTTGCTGACGTTGAGGGTCGGTCCCTAGACGTACATAAATAATCACATCTGATTGAAACACGTCTGTAAAAATCCAATTGCACACATACCCACATTCATGATGTTCATTTTGGTGAAGACGTCGGGTAGAGACGGTACTTGACATTTTTTTACTATCAACTCTATATGCTACCCCTATACAGGTTTAGAGGGTGTTCAAGATAACCTCCTGGAAGCTGTCACTGCTTTATGGGAGCTCCCTGATCACATCAATCTAGTCAAATGTCTTGGTTGCTGCGTGGAACAGGGTAAGTTACCAGTGGTTACTTTATCTAATTCTTACAACTATTTTCACAGTAATTACGATAATGGAAATGAGGATGATGATAACGTTGATATAATTGATTGATTTGTACTACCATTCTAACTACTAATAGTAATACACCTTCTAATAATAGTAATAACAGTATTATTAATAGTAATAATAACGTTCCATTCTGTCATTACCCATTATGGCGTCACATCCTATCCTACACATCGGGTTTTTGATATAGTGCTCTTTCCCTGCAGTTACAAAGCGCTTCACAGTTCGCTCCGTATCATACTATAAGGGAGAGGGAGAGCACCATTGAAGCCAATATAAACGTATACTTATCCGGGCTTCCTCATCAAAAAAAGTTGTCATACTAAAGTTTCTTAAAGAGTTCCAGTTCCACAGCTGTTTATTAGGGAGGTGGGTATATTTGTCCACAACCTTCCAGCAACAGAAGGAAAAGCACCTCAAATACGTTTCTCGGAGAGCGAGGGCAACCACAAGGAACTTCAAAAATATTTTGATATATTTCATTTGGTAACCACATTGATAAAATATTACCTTCTCTATCTGTTGCATATTTCCTGAAATTGAATTATTCAGTAACACTCATTGCTCATTGGTTCTCTTTGCAGCTTTCATCGTCTATGAGTACGTTCTGTGCGGCACTCTTCTGACGTACCTTCAGACCAATGCAGGCAAGACGCGATCATCATACCGGGTTTACGCCAATGTTCGATCCGTTGTAAGAAGGGTGAAGGAACCAGACCTGTTCACGTTTGCCTGGCAGATTGCCAAGGGCATGGCATTCCTGTCCTCACAGAAGGTGACTTTACATGCAACTTTTTATCTATATTGAAGTAAAAATAAATATTTCCAAAAAATGCCTTGGTGCACTCGAATGTCAATTTTTCTACCTGCTATTTTCACAACTTTTAGAGGTTGTCGCTGGCGAGAAAATTACTGATGAGACAAAACATGTGTTGTTAACAGAATATCACTTCTTGCAAAAAAAAGACAAACAGATAAATAATTTCCACAAAAAAAAAACCAAAAAAAATAGTATGACCACTCGAATCCCGCAACAAACGGTTACCCTCAGTTAATTCCTGGTATAAATGATGTCAACGGCAGGTATCTCCTTTTCGATATACGTATCATTCTTTGAAATCTGATGTTGTATTACTCGATTTTGTTGAAAGCCACAATATTTTCTAATGAAACGACCGATATATTCAAAGTTTTGGTTATATTTCCTCTCTGTATGCTATCAAGCTACACCATATGGGACACGTTTTACTTGTTTGAAGATTTCCAATTAATGTCGTGGTGCACTCGAATGTCAAGTTGTCTACCTGCCATTGTTTCACAACTTTTAGAGGTTATATCTGGCGCGAAAATTACTGATGAGACCAAACATGTGTTATTAACGGAATGTCAATTATTGTAAAAAAAGACAAACAAATAAATAAGTTACTTAAATTACAAAAAAAGTTGAATTTAGTTCGCCCACTCGAATCCCGCAACAAAAGGTTATCCTCAGCTAATTCCTGGTATAAATGTAATCAACGACAGGTCTCTCCTTCTCGATAAACGTATAATTTCTTTAACATCTGATATTGTAATATTAGATTTTGTTGAAAGCAACAATAATTTCTTATGAGCATGAAACAAACGATATATTCATAACTTTGTTTATATTTCCCAATAGTATGCTTTTAGGCTGCACATTTAATCCGTGTGTCTGTGTACTGTTCTTGCAGACCACCTGTGTCACTCCATTGTTGTTTATGATTTTGTAATTATATTATGTACTCGAATTTATCATCTGAACAGATCGTTCACGGAAATTTGCGTGCCAGCAACGTCCTGTTGTCGAAAAATAAGATTTGTAAAATAGCAGACTATGGTTTGACTGGTATCACTCAGACATCAAAGGTAACTATGCAATGCTATCTCTTTAGAATAAGGAGTATTTTACATGGTGTTGAAATGAATATCATCAACGTGGTAAATTCCTGAACAATTACGACAAAAGTGATGAACGTTGATAACGTTTTATTTGAAGCAAAAAATGTCAGAATTATTTCGTGAACGTGGAACTAGTAGCTCTAAATTCATCTATGCATGTTTTATAATTCTCATTTTCTCCCTGAAAACACAACAATAATGCATCAGCCTTTGTTCAATCTCGTAAAGTCTAGAATTTCCCCAATCGAGAGATGGCGCTACATGATAAAGCTGAAATAACAGGTTGATTTCCAATATTTTAAAGAGTTCATTCTGAATCGTTTCCAATGTTAGTCGTTTAAAGAAACAAAAGAGGAATTAAATCGAAATATATTACTTTGAATATTTGCACATTTTAAATTTATTGAAATGTTGCACTGGTCAATTGTACCATCTACAAAGATCGTTAAAACCTGCCTAAAGGAACTGTGGTTTAAAATAGCAAATACGTAATGCCCATACTGGAACTCGTTTCTTTCGGGGGTGATTATCCTTTGTTGGGGAGGGGGGAAATTGTTGTAGAATTATTTTTCCGTTGTAATTGTTATCGGGGGGGGGGGGAATGTCCTCTGTCCTAGTACGCATCAATGATTGGGTCAGTCACCGTTTGGATTGTTTTTAAATGCAAAGTTAACATGTTTAATGCGCACACGGTGTGTGATGTGTGTGCGTGTGTGTGTGTGTGTGTGTGTGTGCGTAGGTCTCCTTCTCCCCTCTCTCTCTCTCTCTTTCTCATTCTCGCACATTATTACCTTTATCCGACATAGAACTAAATCTAATTCCAATATTTGAACATTTAGGTTTTATTTATTTCCCTCTCCACACCCTCTTTTATGTGGGAAGTTTTGGTGACGACTGCATTCGATCAATTGCATGATATATGCTTTTAATATAAGTCTATGGAATAAATTTGAGCTGACGCCCTTCTGTTTCTCAACAGAAGATAAACGGTACCATCAATCACAACTCGTTTATAAATGTATGTAATGGTTTTTACCCGTGTTTTTTGTTTTGTTTTTGTATTTACTATCATTATAAGTTTTATAATAATTTGCTCAATTGATAGACACCCATACCCTAATTCATGATGACGTTATGTACAATCATTATGACTTATTGTACACATGAGTTCACTTTGATATTTGTCATAATGTGTAATATTTCAATTGTAGCAAATTTGTTATCTATTTGTTTATGTATCAGACTTTAAAGTTTCTTTGACTTTCTGGAAATTATTGCTATTATAAGTAAGAAAAAAAAAGTACACCAAGTCAAAGAAACTTTCGAGTTTGATACATAAACCTATATATTGATTTTTGGGGGGCTTGTGTTTGAAACCTAACCTGAAGTTTTGGTTACAATAAAGAAATAGTTACAATTTATTTCGTTTGATATATGGGTAAAAGTTTATTTTTTGTTTTCAGACGGTACATCGATGGCTCTCACCTGAGGCAATGCTGACCGGTACATGTTCGACAGAAAGTGATGTTTGGTCATACGGGGTTCTTCTTTGGGAGCTTGTTACCCTTGGTAAGGAAACCATGGACATATCAATTCCCTTCCTTAATTTTTCCTTCTTCCTATCTTTCTACCTTTCCTTGTCTTTTCCAAAGTACCCTAACCTCATCCTGGTTGATTGGCATGTTAACCTCCACACCGTTTCTTTATCGTTATTACCATATACCCTACGAAAAGAAGGATGTCTTAATTTTAGGATGGTCCTACATTATGCATATTGGAAAGGCCGGGTTAAGGGTTAGGGTTAGGGTTTATCTTCAAGATTAGCTTTGGTTACAGTTTGAATTGTAGTTCCGATAGGCCTGGTAACCCTTGCTTATCAATGATTGACGTACCTCAGAATATAATGTATTCATTAACTTAGTATCAATGCTATTTAGCACAATCGAGATGCAACTTCCTTTTTCTTTCTTTCTCCCTGTCCCTATTCCATAGGGATTGATGTATTGTCACACTTAACATTAATATTGTGTCTAAAATTGTGTTTAGAGCACCTGTCCATACCCTACACAAAATTATTAAGTTAATACTCCTATCAACCTGCAAAGAACTATATGTGTGGTATATTGGGTGTTTTAATGACCTTATAATCTTTATAGAAATTAACTTTACTACAATATTTTTCTTCCCTCGCAAGTATTAAAGCAATATTATCAGTAATACCATCCTTACATCGAAATAATCCTACACTATTTTAAAATACAGGTATGTCATATTTCTTTCTTGAAAATAATTTATCGGTTTCGGTTTTTCATCAGGTGCTCAACCGTATCCTGGTGTAAGTGACTGCGAACTGACAGAACGAATCACGAATGGATATATAATGAGAAGGCCGCTACATTGTGGTGAAGATCTGTAAGTAGCCATCTCCGCATCATAATATCTTCATTTTTTGTTTGTTCTTCAGTTTATAACGATATATGTCTTGAATTTTGTTTTGTTTGTTTTATTTTCATTAAAACCCCTGAAATCGATTAAAGGTAACGTGCTTCGTATTATTTATCTTTACCAGAACTCAGCTTATAGTTCTAATTTGTGAATTAGATGAAATAATATATTATATTATATATTAAGATATATAATATATATGTTTCATCTTAATTATACTATTCGTGGATGAGCCTAATGAAAATGTGCATCTATAGTGAATAACGTACTGCTACATTGATGAGCGCACTCGGCACATGTCGATTTGTGGAGCACTGTATACGTCAGGGTGTCAATTTATAATAAGTTATGTTTCTATAGTAGAAACCCACAATATGTATGTGTGGAGACAGAAGCAGACATCAGTTGAACAAAGGCAATTGGACTTAACCAGTTATATTTGGTGCGGGTTATGTTTATATCGTGTCTGGTGTGGTTAATTGTCATGTGTTTCTATCTCTTAGACGCAAATAGCTACTGTCACCTCTCTCTCTCTCTCTCTCTCTCTCTCTCTCTTTCTCTCTCTAAAGCCCTTCAACCCGTGTTCAAGACTCTATTGCAAATTTCATCTACTTAGGTTTTAGCTATTTGCCAGAAAGTGAAACTTCTCGTTTAATAATGGATAGGAGTAAGAACCTTAAAGGGAGACACTGTTTTCTTCATTGCTAAAAAAAAAAAAAAATCTTCACAATTTATAGGAAAGAGTAAAGCACGCGTTCATGATTAAATGAGGGAAACGCCGGTTGTCCTTTTAGCATTTGTTTAAAAATAAATGATTCTCGGTTGTATTAACAACATATAAATAAGGTGAACGACATATCGTATGCCGTGGATTGGGAATTGTAACTCATTTATTTGCTGCAGGAAAGAAAATTCATTACCTACGAAATTTGTAGTTAGGAATGTTCACTCTAAAAACATTTGATACATTTGCACCCGATATTTGGCGAGAGGGTGGGGGACATGCATGTTTATCTTTATAAAATGCTTCACAATATTGGGTGACATTTATCAAAAAATAAGTTAAATATTCTCGAAATTGGATAACGATTACCCAATAACTGTTAATATTTCATCCTGCAAACATGATCGTTCCTTCTTACTTGTTTCACCTAATATAAGCTAATTTTACCATTTATGTCATGTTTCAGCTAAATAATTAGAATAGTAGAGAAGGAATACATAATATTGTTTAAAAAATGCCTTTAAACAAAGCCTGTGCGCCCCCACCCGTTACTCTGAGTTTACGGCTTCTTTTCCTGTTATGTCATCGATAACTGGTTTACATATTTCGGTTGGAATGCAATTAAAAAAACACTTAAACAAGCTGCGTTTGGTGTCTCAAAGAACCTTTTGTACAGATAAACAAAACTTATTTCCTCTTATATAAATTTAAATGCACAGGTTCAACATTATTTCAGACTGTTGGAAGATTGATACAAGGCAACGTAGCACCTTTCATGACATGCAAATCAAAATTGGTTGGATTCTCGAGGGTTCAAATGTAAGTCTAACAAAACATACATTGGACAGGCGTGGTTATATAATAGCATTTGCCTTTTCTCTAGCCTAATACGGCTAGAGAAAAGTCAAATTATTATTATGTGACGACATTCATGACCGTGGTTATTATATTTCAAATGAATTGTATTCATTACAACGTGTATGCAGTAATGATAACTGTCTTTCTTGTAGATCCTCCAAATACTATCGTTCTGTCTTTCTTTTTTTAGTTTTCCCCTCCCTTTTTACTGCATTTTGTACATTTACACATTATTTAATGCACCTTACGGACAATTTCATAAGTGAACTTTTATTTTAAATCAGAAGAAATATAATTCTTACAATCACTTCATACTGTCAACCTTGTATGCCCATTTCTGGCATATATCTTTATAAATCTAATCGGGATGTTAGAATGTAAAACAAATATTTCCTAATAGTTTCATTTTCTAAGTGTACTTTAAATTTTCGGGATAATAATGTAGTACTTTCCTTTCATTTTTCATAAACGATTATTAACATTCCGCTCCTTTGAATTATGCCTATCAATGACAAATCCATTTTTCTCTTAATTTTGTTACCAGGATTATCTCTCCCTGAATAGGATGAGTGACGAGGATATTTACACTGACATCCCTGAGTTGGAGTAGGTTAACATTATTAATTTACATGTAACTTATTATATTTTTCTTAAAACATATTTCTCTTTGAAAATATAACTGGTTAATTCGAAATGAAGCTGTAGTGCATGTTCATGGTTATCATTATAATTTACCTCAAGCAACAAAAACAATGCTAACGTTTAGTTATTTTGTAAACAAAAACATTAAAGGTAATACAAAGTTTTGGGAAATTTTGAAAATTGGGTGGATAGTGATTCTTTACAATTCTGATGTATTTAGATGCCCATGTGTATTTGTTATGAGCACTAGATAATTTTGCCCCTAAAACACTTCTGATTTCGAGAAAAATGGAATTGAAAACATTTACCGGTGCTCCCGTTCAATTTTGATGACTTTCAAATAGCGCCTACGGCCGTACAATGGTAGCTGCGACCATGATAATCTCAGAATATGTAGTAGAGATATATACTTTCCAAACGGGAATAGCTAATTGGTAGATTTTAGTCAAGAAACAATAATTTATAGCTTAATTATTATATCTTGACCTTGAGAGGGAGCTATACAAAATAAAGAGCTTATTATTTACAATCTCATAATTTTAGACTCAAATTCAACTGCGACAACGATCACTGAATAATGTAGGATCGCATATGCTTCCAACATGTTCATTTGAAACAAATTCATGACCCCAAACCAAAACTTTGTATTACCTTCAAATAAAATTGTGAATACAATCCAGTACTAATAATTTTTATGCCAAGATTTTGTTTGTGCATTTAGAAATTCAATTTCAGATGAAATATTTTAAGGCTTTAAGTGATATTGATCTTTTGTTTTCTTCAGCAAAATGGTCATACATCAATTTTTTTGTCCTAAAACTATGTCTTTAATCTGAGTGTAAATCACCGCAAAAAAAGGTATTTAGTAAAGCTTGAAATATTAGTAGGTGTGTATATATATATATATATATATATATATACATGATTAGTTGTATTTAACCCCGTTTAATTAAATGCATAATATTAAGTGTTACTTGTATTATTTCAAAGATATCTTTAATTTCCATTTAAATCTAAATTCAGCAAAAATCGATTGTTAAATGAAAAATGCCATTTTTCCAAAGTTTTTCTCAGAAATTATTATTAATCATGTTTGTTTTGTATGCGACTTGAACCAAACATCAACTTAATGAAATGACAGAAATGTATTCAAATAGGAAAAGAGTTTCCAAAAATTGTAGTTATTTTTGGTTTTCTTGATTCCTGATACATGTATGTGTAATGTAAATCCGATTGTTGTATACTGTAGATTTTTTTTTTTTTTTTTTTTACTGATACCGATTGCAAACATATGTTTAAAATAAATATGGAATCTTGATTCTTGAACTAATATAATTTTGATGATAATAATAATGAAAATACCACATATTCAAGAATAAGACGAATAAGAAGAGTAATCACAGTAGAAGCAGTACATAATCATGATAAGGGTGACAGTGATTAGGACAACAATTGTAATTCAAACCATTAATATTGACGGGATTAAAGGAGTTTCATATCCTTGTATTCAACGCATACAAATCAGGCGAAAACTTTAAATGGTGAGTATGTTTTTATTCATTCAGGAGAATCAAAGTCAATATTATTTCTTTACAGAAAATATGCGATAAAATAATAGGTAACAATTTACCCAGCAGTGCATGAAATAAATCGGCCCATTTACCAAGCCAAAGAAGCACTTTCTCTTTCTCTCTCTTTGCAAATATATGTAATATTTCATTCATATATCTGTATCGCAATACTCTGTAACCAGTGGAAAGCAAATATCCTTAAAAGGACAATAACTTATTATACTTATACTTATACTCATATACTTATACATATGTATAACTTTATATTTTCCTCTCTTAGTACCATGTGTCTAAAGTCTTACCAGCTTCTATTTATTATCTCAATATTTTGATGACTTATTTAATTTAAATCAATTAAATACATTTGACATGCGGAATTTAGCTATGCATCTTAACATGTATGTAGATAGGCCTAAGTATTTGTTTTTGTTTCACACTCAAAAATCATGCAACTTTCCTCTATATTCTTATTTTCAATGGATACATGGGACGTTCCCTTTGATTGCTTCTATTTGTTACTAAAATCAAAGGGAAAATATATATTTGGAAAAAAAAACATTGTTTATATTCGTTTATACAACTAAAAATAAAATACATATAGTTGTATTTATGTTTAATTTTATGCACAACACTATAGTAAAAATACATTGAAACTTAAGATTAAAGTGAGTAAATATGATTATTATAATGTCTACTTCTGCTCGTTCTAATTTATTTATGGTCATTATCGACAAAATGTATGTTCATGCATAATTTAATCAGAATGTATCATTTCATTTATTGTTGGTTTCGCTTTGAGTTTACATAATTTTATATCAAAACCCAGAAGCTCCCATTCATAACCACGAGGACAAGCAGTGGCGTATTAATATGTTGCGAGAAAACGGAGGGTAGGGATGATCGAAATAAGGCCCCGATATTTTTCTAGCCCGCACACACACAACTCTATTGGAGATGGATGTGAAATAATACTTTTAAAAACTTGAGGACATTCTCAGCCTATCTCTAATATTTTGAGAAAAAAATTAAAAAACAATACTTTTAACTAATATATCACCTATCGCAATGTTTACAGACAAAATGTTTGAGTACATATATAATGTATAAACCTATTCCCAAAATTGCTCACCCCCGGCTTTCTATTGGCTAACGGATAACCGCTATGAAGAAAATGAAGAATACCATGAAAAGGACGTACACAGACTTGCAGGCCCTAATTCATGCGAGCGGGCTCGGTTGCGAAAAGTGGTAGTCTACTAACAAGCCGCTTTTATCTTAGTTTATTGCGAAGTTTTTTTGCAGAAGTTATATATTCAGGTTATTTCAATTATGCTATTACACACAAAATTGCGTAAACTCCCACACTACCCTCGATCTCCCCCCGCGAGGGCGGGCATTATATCAAATACTTAATAGACAAGTGGACCTGGAAAAGCCTCGATTCTACTTTCAATACACAATAAGGTGCTTGAAACTGTCACTCCACTTACACAAATGGGTACTTTTTCTCGCAAACCAGTCTATGATACAATGATTGCTTCAAACATTTCGTGTATTAGCAATGTCCTTGTCATACGCAAACTCTGGACGTCTTAGGCAAATTAAATTGTTGGTATAATTATAACACTTTATTCAAACATGTCATACACTTCCTCATTTCGATCATCCACACAGTACAATATTGTGTTGCGTCTTTTCAAGTTACTTCATTCTAAATTGTACATTAATTATTTCAATCTTTTGATATGTACATCGGGCTATAGTTTGTTGATAATGTGAACATGGAATTTCAATAAAGTACCGTATACAACTCTGGTGTAAAATTATATGTAATAACCACTCATTAAGTATTCCGGTGTGAAGGATAACTATTTCTATCTTAAATGATTTATAGTGATTGCCTTATTGGTTAACATCTTATTATCAAGAATAGTACAAACACAATAAAGTTATATAAATGTAACTGTTTTCAATATTATTGGTAATGATACAAAATATAATCTTTACATTTCATCACATTCTGAAAAGTGTGTGGAACATGATATTGAAATAGACAACCCCCCCCCCCCCCAAAAAAAAAAAAAAAAATAATAATAATAATAATAATAATAATAATAAATAAATAAAATAAAAATTAAAAAAATTAAAAAAATCAACAAAAAAAATTTAAAAAATCAAACACATGTACACTTTGCATTCATTGTGTTTGTATTACGTACAGAAAGAGTGTGCGAAACATAATAGTGAAATATACACAAACCAATTTTAATCTTTGTTTTATGCACGTACACATGACATTATTATAATTTGTAGCATTACTATAATTATTTGTTTGTATATGCCGCGAAAAGAGTGTAACATTACAGTAAACATTAAACGAATATTATCTTTTTTAATCGATTAGAGTAATGAGGTAACCAATATAGATTATTTTGTTTACAGTTACGTTATCAACACATCATCATAGCGATCAGTCTTTTCGTAAACAATATTTTGAATATCCGTAATATTTCATATATTTGCATCAGTGTTAGGATTAAGATACAATTCGTCCATTGTGTTCGTTACTAAACATACTGATACTACTGATAATGTGGTAGTTAACATTGATTTTACAAAATGACACTTACATTCCCTCTATTTAGAGGTAAGTTGTAAACACATCATCAAGACCATCATCGTGATCATCAGCAATGTGGCGATTTGTACTAATTTCACAATAAGTTGACGCACCTTCAGCGTTAACATAAGTAGGCTCCCCCGTCAGAATGGAATGTGCCCTCACTTGCCTGCGGACAAGAGTGGGGCTAACGTTAAGTACAGCATCACCTTGATCGTCAACTGAGGTGGTGGGATTGGAAACCTGTTGGGTAGCACTAGCTCGGGATTCGCATTTTAGTATAGGTTTCATTGCCATGTAGGTATGGTTTGCTTCGGGAACATCTGGTACTACATGTGTGAGGTCTAATTGGTCAGTGTGATCCTTAACAATGTTTGGAATATCTGTACTAATTTCACAATAAGTTGGCCCACCTTCGGTGTTAACATAAGTAGGTTCATCCTTCAGATGTGAATGTGTCTTTCCTTGCTTGCGGACGAGAGTGGGGCTAACGTTAAGTACAGCATCACCATGATCGTCAATTGGGGTGTTGGAATGGGAGACTTGTTGGCTAGTACTAGCTGAGGATTTGCACTTCAATCCAATATAGGTATGGGGTACTTCGGAAACATCGGGAATTGAGTATGTAGGGTCTGATTGGTCGAAGGTCATGTCCGAAGGCTGGAAACCGAAAGAGAAATATCACTTGGTGAATTAACGAAGAAGGGGGTTGCACGGATCCTTCTCATCATCTTTTCAAATAAGTTAGAATAAACAAAAACATACATAAATAAACTTGAAATAAACATACAATTAAAACGATTAAACACTTTCAAAAAATCTATCGAAAGGAAATGTTAGAATTGGTTCATTTCATAAGTTGAAAACATAACAATACCATTATTGCA